TATATATATATATATATATATATATATATATATATATATATATATATCAGAGTCAGATATTCTTTATTGTCATGTGGTATGAACAAAATTATGTACACAGGGTCCCAGTTACATCCAACAATAAAAATATAAAAGAAAAACAATGATAACATCTAAGATATGAACTAAGAAAAAAATCATCTAAAAATACACTAAGCACTAATATCGTAAAACATTACGTCCAACAGCAGCACGAACATAAGCATGAGTCTGTGTGAGCAGATGAGCACGCACAAACACATCAACATTGAAACAGATCAGCAGCAACATGATGTGATTTTTTTCACAGTGATTATTCTGGTTAGAGATTCATGAGTCTAACCGCCTCAGGGTAGAAGCTGTTCCTCAGTCTAGTGGTTCTACACTTAATGCTCCTCAACCTCCTTCCTGAGGGGAGCAGGGCAAAAAGTGTGTGTGCTGGGTGAGTGGGGTCCTGCATGATGCAGGTGACCCTCTTCCTGCATCTGGAGGTGTAGATGTCTGTGATGGTGGGGAGACTGATTCCAACAGATTTCTGTGCAGCCTTCACCACTCTCTGCAAAGCTTTTCTTTCTGCAGCTGTGCAGCCTCCATGCCACACATTGATGCTCGAGCACAGGATGCTCTCCACTGCACACCTGTAGAAGGAGGTGAGGACTGAGCTTCCCTGACCAGCTCGTCAGCCACGTGAGGAAGTGTTGTTGCTCCAGCTGAGGTTGTCATTCATGTACCCAAGTACTTGTAGCTGGAGGGCACTTCCACCGCAGATCCTGTTATGTTCAGGGGGGTGTAGATGTTTTTGTTCCTTCTGAAGTCTACAATCATCTCCTTTGTCTTCTTCACATTGATGTAAAGGTTATTCTCTTTGCACCAGCTCTCCAGGTGTTCCACCTCATGCCTGTAGCTGGACTCATCGTTGTTTGTGATGCATCCCACCACCGATGTATCATCTGCAAACTTTACAATGTGACAACCTTTATGGGTAGCTGCACAATCATACGTGAGCAGAGTAAACAGGAAGCGGCCCAACACACATCCCTGAGGAGAGCCTGTGCTGAGGGTTATGGTGGAGGAGGAGAAGTTGTGGATCCTCACTGACTGTGGTCTGTTAAGAA